GATGAATAGATGGATGGATGGATGGATGAATGGATGGATGGATGGATTGATGGATGGTTGTTAGATGGATGGATGGATGGATGGATGGATGGATGATGGTTGTTAGATGGATGATGGCTGGATGAATAGATGGTTGGATGGATGGATGGATGGTTGTTGGATGGATGATGGTTGTTGGATGGATGGATGGTTGTTGGATGGGTGGTGATTCAGTGTTTCAGTGATTCAGTGATTCAGTGTTTCAGTGTTTCAGTGATTCAGCGATTCAATGATTCAGCGTTTCAGCATTTCAGCGATTCAGTGATTCAGTGTTACAGTGTTTCAGTGATTCAGCGATTCAGTGATTCGGTGATTCAGTGTTTCAGTGTTTCAGTGATTCAGTGTTTCAGTAATTCAGTGTTTCAGTGATTCAGTGTTTCAGTGTGAGGTGGACACACACACACACCTTTTGCAGTTTCCTCTGAAAACGATGGCAGACAAGCTGTCCTCCTCAGAATGTTTGCATGAAGAAGCGTAGCTGCTCACAGAGTTTCCTGAATCGGAGCTGTTGTCTTTGTAAGAACATTTCTGCTTCTTGTTCAGCGAGGCCAGAGGCTGACACAGGTTCTTCTTGTTCTCAGCGGCGCTCGCCCGAGAAACGCCAGTTTTGCTCGATGGAGGCGAAGAAGTATCGTTACCAGAGTCGTAATCCCGAGGACCTTTAGCAAGGTAAGCTAATTCCTGAGATCTGCCCCCTTTAAAAAGCTCACTTCCAGACTTTGATGGTAAAATCTGCAAACAGACAAACAAATGTAAGCTTAAAAACAAGCGCGCCGAGTAAATCCTGACACCTGCCTTTGATGAATACTCTAGTACAAAGCCACATACCCCATTGGAAACACAGTTAAGAGATTTGATTTTTTTTGGGACAGAAAGCTTTTAAAGACATCATGCAAATCTGTAGAAGCATGCGAATAACCCTCGAAATACAGTCTGAACTCTGCTAAAGTCAAAGAAATCAACAAGAAGATAGATTTTGAAGTCTAATCTAGAACAGTTATATGAAAGAAAAAAACAAAAGAGCAGAGACAAAAAAGAGAAAAATCTATGTGTGGAAAGATCTACCAGCTCTAACTTGAAGAGAAAAAAAAGAGTAAACAATAGCCCCCATTGTAAAGCTTCGTTTAAAGAACATTGAACAAACATCACAATAATGGGATTTATGTAAAAATGAAAAGAATTGCAGACAAAGAGAGAGTCCATCAGTTTAACTAAGAAAGCCCTCAGAATAGGACAGATGTCTGTGCTCTCTCCTCAGAATTAATAATTAACCTGCACCGACCTAAGAGCAAATCCCTAAATCTGCAGATAGCAGCGACTTACCAATCAAGATTTCCTCCTTAAGTAGGTAAGGTGTAAAAAAAAAAGGGGAAGAGCGGGCAACATAAGTGCATCATTAGAGTCGTAAATGACAGAAAAAAAGACAATAACCCTCTCTTCAAACCCAGAGCCAGTCAGACTTACACACGCATGTTCCTTTTATTTCACCAGTGGCGCATCGTTCGGCTGTTGTTGTGGAAAAAATACCTCAGCTGAGTACTAATACATTTATGCAAACTGCATTTAATGAAAAACAAAAAAGTGCTGGTCTAATCAGTCCTCTGCCAAATTTTATCTCTGGTTAGTTCATAATAGTTGGGTACAAAATGGTTCATTATTTAATAACCATTATTATTATTATTATTATTATTATTATTATTATTATTATTATTATTATTATTATTATTATTATTATTATTATTATTATTATTATTATTATTATTATTATTATTATTATACCATTTACTTTTACAGAAATATGCACATATCCTTGCACGCAGAGGTGGGACCAAGTCATTGTTTTGCAAGTCTCAATCAAGTAAGTCTCAACTCTTTATCTTCAAGTCAGAGTCAAGTCTCAAGTCAAGACAGGAAACTGTCAAGTCCCAAGTCTGAAACTTACAATTTCAAGTCCTTTCAAGTCTTTTTTTTAAACAATGATGCAGTTATTTGAAATGTAAAAAAAAAACAGACCATGTGTTTTTTTTTTCCAAATTTGTCTCCCAAATTGTGATTAAACATACAGCTGAACTTACAAAGTATTTTAAACATCATTTTAAAATTGCACCTCTATATTTCACAGTTCAAACTAGACTGCATAGCGGTATGGGGTCAAATATGGGGTCTATCATAAAACGGTTGACTGGCACAGTGAAGGTCGAACACATCTATATTCCTACCAAATTTTAAGCGTGGTTTCCGTGTTAAGGTCGACCAGAAATCTTGAAAAAAGAAAAAAAAACTAAATAATTCGAAAAAAATATGACCCCCTTTGCATGTGGGGGGTCATAATAAACTTAGCTGCAAAAATATTCTTCCTTTAAACTATAGTTTTCCATGTTTTTAAAATCTGGGTAATTTGATTTACTATGTTGCAGCTCGCACACACACATAAAGGGTGTGAATAAAAAGACGGACAGTCTGCCTTCAGAATGAGTGAAATTTATTAATGGGGCCCACTTTATATAACATGTGTATTATAATTTTGGGTAAAATTTCAAGTCTTTTCAAATAAACAGGGTCAAGTCCAATTCAAGTCTCAAGTCATTGGTATAAAAGTCCAAGTCAAATCATGTCTGAGCATTTTTCCAAGTCAAGGCTAAAGTAGACATATCCTGCCTCTAAACCTTTATCACATTTAAGTCCTTCAGTTGGGGTCTTTATAAAGTGGAACTACAACGCTTTGGTCTGAAATCCTCTTTATTCTAACTTTATCAGCTCGTCTTTCAACGCTTTCCTGCAGCATCTCTCAAATCAGCTGGTTTATGTTACTGTTCCTTTAAGATGCTTCAAGCCCCGCCCCCTCCTGCTTCCAGACCGGTCCACTCCAGTTTGAGAGAGGGGGTTAGCATTTTCTAGCAGTGCAGAGATGTTTTATTTACAATTTAATCAAAAGATGTTGACAACAGAAGACTTTTCTGCCTCTTATAGACTCCAAGTACAACAAAATGTATTAAATGTATTAAAAGTAGATTTAATGACTCGTGTCTGACGAGTCCAAGTCATGTGACTTGACTCCCCCTCTGCTTGCATGTATTGTTGTGGCTTTGCACGCACTAACATGTGCAGATGCACCAAAATCCCTGCAGCCATGCAGAGAAATGAGTTGTGCTTTATTTCAGTGAGCTGACCCTATAGGCTTCCAGTTTCATGACAGTGATAAGCCAGACTTTTTCAAACTTTCATTCAAATACATCAAATCATTGAACACTGTGTACTGTATAATGGCTCACTTGTTGAGCATAAATTAGGCAAAATGAGTTTATCTATATTTAGAAAGAGAAATCCAGTAGATGAAACCAACTGGGACCATTTCTTACCCAAAAATTAAAGTTTCGGATCAAAGATATAATTTGACAGAGGCACACGATGACAGGTAGCCAAAAAAGGAGAACAGATAGAGTTAACTAAAGCCTGACTTCAAGAGGATTTTCCATCATCTAGTCTTCAGTCGACGCAGCAGAGCAACCATCGGGGACATTTAAACAAATCTCCCACCATCCCTCTTTAAAAGACCCATTTTCACACAATCTGTTCACACTCAGGACTAAAAGGTTTCACAAATTCTCAGCGGAGACGTTCTTCTCTGTCATCTCAGGCTGTTTCCACAAGGTTCACTTCAAGTAAACGTTTCATCTTTTGAGGCTCATGAAGAGATTTTGTTAATTTCTGCTTCACATATAGATTGAGAGAAAAAAAAACTACATCTTATATTTACAAAAATTAAAACCTAATTTTGAACATCAGCTGCACCCAAACTAATAGACCATTTTTGTTCGTTCCTGCCTGGTTTTGTTGTTAGTAAACAAACAAATGAGAGAAAATTATGTGTCAAATTTATATTCTGAACATTTATTAAGAATAAAAAAAGGATAAATAAGTACAAAAGTAAATTTATGCAAAAGCTATGGAGGACAGAAACTGACAGAATTAGAAATAAATGCAGAAATATATAAACAAACCAATTCATAAATATACTTAAAATGCAATAATTAAATTTAAAAAAGATAACTTTACTTTATGTTTTTCATAATTTAATTGATCTTCATATTTATTTTTTCCAGCTTAATTCAAATTATATATTTTCGTACATAGCAAACACTAATATATATATATATATATATACATAGTTTTTCCTTTTTACTTTTACATGCATTTGTGCCTTTTAAATGATTTATAACTATTTTTCATCATGTTTCCCACGTGTCGTTTTATTTATTTGTTGCTTTTAAATTTCTCTGTCTCCTGTTTTTACCTTATACATTTATGCCTCATTATGTAAATAAGGTGGGCGGAGATTCTTGGGTCAGCTTATTTCCTATTGGTCAATAAACAGGAAGTTTAGTTTAAAATAAAAGCACATGTATATGTTTTCTTCCATGTGTTTGTTTTAACTGCATTTTAAGGGTATTTATTTCTTTATTGGTCCATTTTTATATTTCTGCTTTTATTTCTACTTATGTCAGCTTCGGTCCTCCATAAAGTTCCTCTGAAAGGACTTTGAGAAAAATGCTGTCATTTTAATACGTTTCTATTTAAATACTGTGTATTTAAAAACAGTCATCTTTGCGATTAGCATATTTTCATGATTGCTGGAGAGAAATTGAATTTGATTTATGCTCCAACAGGCAGGAGACAATGGGCCTAAAATGAGTTAAGATTTGAAAACATAATAAAGGAAATCTGAACTTGCAATTACCATCTGATGTTTTAATCAGCTCTGATGTGATGTGAAAACGAGTAATTTAACAAATAAATAAATAAAAAGAGGATTATGAGAGTCTGAAATGATGATATAAATATTCATAGGGTTTGTTTGTGGGTGTTTTCAGGAGCCATTGAGCTCTCTGTTGAAGCTTGATGTGCCAACAAGCTGTTCCACTTTTATACATTTAAGGCAAATTGTGATTAATTATAAAACAGACATATATTCTCCGCAGCACGTTTGGAATGTTAAAAACCTTTCCTGTACGAAGCGAACAGCTTTTACAGACAATACAGACGATCAAGATTCTGTTTGCACATACAGTAATTATACTATAAAAACACACAAACCTGATTTACAAAACTGTAGAAGGTAAGAAAAAAAACACTCACTTTTTTATCATTTACTTTTCTACACACCATATTTATGGTGTTTAAAGCGTAAACAAGAACTGCCAACTAATTTCTTGGAGAAAATCGGATCAAAACGGCTCAATAAATCACTGTAAAACAAACAAAAAATACATATGTAACAAATAATTTAAAAAGTAGAAGAACAAACTGTGTGACTTTACCCAAGAGATAAAAGGGAAGCTCTGTCAGCGATGTGAAACTCTTAAAGAGTACTTACGCTGCCGCCTGAGAGGATGGAGCGACATTTTGTGGCCATTTTACACACAGATTTGGTTGCTCTTCTCCACTTTGCGTCCCTGTGGTTCAACCCTGATCTGGTTTCTCCCAGGTCTCTCAGAGCCTGATGAGCCTCAGACGTTTGCAGATGGTGTCTGCGGGGAAATGAAACATTTAGTCCAAATAACAGAATCAGGACAGCAGCATTCATCACAGCTTAGGTTTTGTTAGCCGGACTCCACAGTTTACCTGAACATTTCTGATTTTTCTGCTTTTGCAAGTGCCTTTTAATTTTTTTATTGATTATTTCTTCATTTATCATTATCTACCTAAGGAGACACAAGCTTCAGCTCCTGTTTTCTTTCCGACTCTGCAGTGCAACAGTCATGCAATTATCACCATTATCCAGTTCTTCCTCCATCAGTCACACAATAATCTAAAACAAACTGTCAAAATGTCCTGCCTATCATCACACAGCCAATATTTTGCTTCATGTCTTAATAGCCCCGTGAATTGATCATTGGTGGGGGGGTATTTGTGGTGGTTTTTCCTGCTGGGCTGCGATAAGGCTTGGTTCTGCCGGAGGTTGAGGAAGTCACCTCTGTCTTATCAGTTATTGCCGCGGTGAGAGCGAGAACTCTGCAGACACCTCGTGCCGATAAGATAAAACGATGGGGATGCAGGTGGAGGGTGGAGGAGGGCTCCTTACCTGTCCTCTGCAAAGGATCGGCAGGAGGAGCAGCGCGACTCTGACCTCCGATGGCGCCGCCTGCGATGAGAGCGAGTCCGTGAGCTGGAGGAGAGCAGAGGAGGAGAGACACGAGCTGAGAGCATCAGTCAGCTGGAAGCAGGACATTTTCAGATTTGTTAAGAAACAAAACCGAATTAAATCAGGTTTTAGAAAATTGTGAACATTTCCCATCAATTGATGAATTTGTTAGCATTTCGCTAACTGTTATTAATCTATGTTTTATAATTTTCCCATTCTCATTGTGCTTATTTAATACAGTTAAAAACAAAGACACAGGTGTTTTCCTCCATGCCTTTGTTTTAAAATAAACTTTAAGGTAAACTGAGGCAGTACAAGCATGCACAGTAGATCTGCACATGGATCCCGCTCCTTCCTGTCTGTTGACCAATAGGAGAGGAGCTGACCAAAGAAGCCCCGCCCACCTTGTTTACATAACGAGGCAGAAATGCACAAGGTAAAGTAAAAACAGGAGACAGAAATGTAAAAGAAACACATAGAAATAAAAAGACTTGGAGAAAATTATTTAAGAATATCATTTAAGAGACACAAAAGCATGTATAAGTAAAAGGAAAAACAACAAATAAATGTTTTTAAAAACATTAATGTGTAAATAATGTTGTAAAATATATAATTTATTGGATCTAATCTGGAAAAATAAATATGAATGTCAATTAAATTATAAAACAAGAAGTAAAGTTTTCTTTTTTTTTATTTAATTGGTACATTTTAAGTGTATTTATTTATTTATTGGTCCGTTTATATATTTCTGCTTTTATTACTAATTATGACAGTTTTGGTCCTCCATAATCCAGACACTCATACGAAGCAAAGCGTAGAACAAGGCGCTGGTTTATACCAGGCTAGCATTTCACTAATCGTTATTAATCTTTGTTTTCTAACACTCCCACTCTCATTGTGCTTTTTTCATACAGTTTAATACAACATTTAGAGCAGGTGAAACAATTAAGAATTGCATGCAAGTCAATATTTTAGCCTTAAAAACCCATATCCTAAGAATTTTTGGTCTGCAGTGCAAAACTTAGCCATCTAAAAACAAGTTCTCAAATATGGGGCACCATGTGTAAAAAAAATTCTCTAATGTTTTTTTTTCAATTATTTAGCTCATTGTTCTAACATTTAGCAATTTTTTACTGAATGTTAAATTCAAACATAAAAAATATTTAAATATTAAATCCTAAATCTAAATGNTCCTAAATCTAAATGTTTAAATCTAAATGTAAAAGTCAAAACTTAAATTTTAAAGTAGAAAGTTGAAGTTATTCATATTTAGGCATTTTGGAATGGAATGCAGCCTTTGCTCTTGGTGCTTGGCTCATGCCATGATGTCATCATCCTGCGACAATAGCAACCGCTAGCTAAAGCTTCCTTATGAGACATCACATTTTTTAACATTTCATTTTACACTTGGTGTCCCATACTGAAATAAAGTGAAATAATCTGCACTTGGTAAAACTTCTTGACATAAAATTTTCTTGTTTAGTAAATTAGTCTCAAAACAAGATCAAAATAATTTTTCCTGGATATAAGATTGTAAGACTTGATTAGATGGAGACTTTTTGCAGTGTATTCTTGTTGTATGGAGGGAGGATGTTTAAAATAAACAGAGAGCATCAGTAAGAAGTAAAGAAATGAAAAAAGACAAAAAAAAAAAGCACCAACAATAAGAAAATGAAAAGTTTAATGAGCTTAAAGCATTGACTCATAAACCAAAATCACTTTCTTGTTTGTTCAATTTAACACTTTTTCCTGTATTTGTTAGCCTTAAATCCCATTTAATAATCTGCTTTTATCAGAAATCCTGAGGGACGGGTTTGCAACAGGAAATAAGGTTATGGGGGAAACAATCACAGACTGACCTTTTCTTGTGCTTGCGTTCATCTTTCCTTTTACGTTTTAAACTTGAGGAGCTGCAGGGATGCAGAAAACAAAACTATAAGGTTGTGAGTTTTCACTGCAAGGAGACAAGGAAAATGTGTTCGACTCACCTGTGTTTGGATTTCTTGGAGGTGTACCTGGAATGTCGGGGGTAAAAAAAAAGATTTATTTTACCTTCATTTGAAAATAATGTAAGGTTTGCATCACTGTAATGAAGGAGAAATACCTGTGCCGCTTGCTTTTCTTTGAGCTCTTCTTCTTCTTCTTTTTCTTCTTCCTCAGTGGCGACAGACTGGGGGAAGGAGACCTGAAACACAAAGATAAAAATAAATAAAATAAAATCTACAAGAAAACTCAGTTTGATTCAGTTTATCTTGAAGCACTTTACAGAAGTTCAAATTACTGCCCAGTTCAGGGGTCTGCAACCTGCAGCTCTGGGGCCACATGTGGCTCCTTGGTCCCTCTGCAGTGGCTCTTTGAAAATGTGACTTAATATAAACAATTTTGTTTTTGGGGGGGGAGGGGGGGTTATACTCACAACAGAAATGAATTGTATGCAAATATGTCATGAATACTACTAATACAAAAAGTAAAACCTGTTGTTTAGCTCATGCTAGCCTGTTGTCTACCTGAAAATAAATCCAACTTCTTTCCATTTATTTATTTATTTAGGATCCCCATTAGCCCTTGCCGTAACAAGGGCTACTCTTGAGCTTGACCCTGATCTTTCTCTTAAATCAATCATCTTTAAACACCTTTAAGACTACATAATAATAATAATTAGAAAAAAATGTCTGAATAGTTAAGTTATACTAGTGTTTATGAAATTCAGTACAAAATATAAACTACAGTATTTTTCTTGTGCATGAATGATTTTATTTATCCTGAAGTTTGAAAATATAAATAAATAGGAAAATTCACATCTTTTTGTTTTATAAAGTCACCTCCACTGGCCGTAAAGGTTCACAAAAAGGCCTTGAAAAGGCCCACAGACCACCAGTTGATAATCACATTTTATTAGTGAGCCAAGAAGCAGAAATGTCTCTTTTGATTGTAAAAGGTTACAGACCCCTGGCCCAGTTTATTGTAATTCTATTCAAATTTAGTCCAGTTCATTTTAAAATGGTTTTAATTATAGTAGTTTGAAATTGATAAGGTTTAATTCTAACTAAATTTATTATAAATATATTTGTCAGTACAGTCTAGTTTGTTCTAAAAGACACAGTCTATATTCAGTCCTGTAGTAAAGTAGCTCAGGAAGTCCATTTGTTGCATTAAAATTTCATTTTCATGCAGTCTTATGGATCCAGTCCTGCCTCTGTTTTTATTTATTTAAAAAAAGGTACAACAAAGGAATTCAACATCACACAACAACATCATCAAACTTTGAAAACTCACCTTTTTCTTTTCCTCTTGCGCTCAGATTTCCTTTTCTTCTTCTTCCCCTTTGGTCGAGCAGAAAAAACATCATCAAAGTAGTGTCTGCAACCAGAGAGGAGAGGGGGAGATGTGAAACCTCACCAGAATGAAACCAACAGGAGCTTCTTTTCATTTAGTATTTTACTCATTTATCACATCGATCCTTGCTATTTAATCTGGTTTAATTAGTAATTAGTAAAACAGAAACATGGAATCATGGGAAAACAGCCTTCTATAAAAAACAAACATTTTTAAAAGCTTTTAAATGTGCATCACTTTAAAGATTGCATTGAATAAATGACATTATGAGTGCTTTGGGTGGTACCTGATTTCATTCATTGTCTGATGACATCAAACATCTGTTTAAGAACCTGCTTTTCAATCATCATTTCTGTCCACCATTTGCACAATAAAGATGGTTAAATAAATCAGCGGGCTAAATCTCTCTTTATTTTGCTGAAGTGTGATGTCCTTCAGCTGTTTCAGAAGAGTCCTGCTTTTACTGGAAATAACAAGAGTAAAGTCTCCTCTCTGAATGTACCTGTCTGAGCCCAGAGGGCTTGTTTTAAGGTAATATTCTAGGCCATTTGATGAAAATAGCTGCCTGCTTTGGTCTAAAGAAAGAGGTGAACATAATTCAGAATAAAAAACAAAACAAAAACAAAGTCACAACATCTCTAAAATGTATTTGTGTTGACCATAAGTGTTAAAGAGGACATATGGAAAATCCACTTTTTTTTAGTTGTTTAAAGGGAGCCATGAATAATTTTAACACTCGACTTTATTTGATAAATGTTTATTTTAACTGTAAAATAAAGACTATAAAATACTGTAGGATGTTTAGTTTTAATAATTTTTAAACTAAAATTTTAAAAACATATTACATGGACGGGGCCATTTTATTTACATGCAAAGCATTCTGGGTAAATGATGACGTGGATAGGTCCTCGGCTGCTAGCGAGCTATGTCCACCCTGAAGGTTAATCTTGGACAATATCTGATGATCGACTCTTTTAAATGAAACCAGAGAGCGTTGACAGAGAGGAGAAGGTAGAAATGACTCAGCCTGGAACTGAAAATATGGATGGAGGACAACAGAGCTGCTTCATGGAAGAAGAACCTCAGCTTAGCCTGTTAGCTTTAGTGTTAGCCCCAACGCTATCACCATATATGTATTAGCTCAGCGCTACACATTCTCCTCTCGTCACTGAGGTCCTTCATCCACATGACAGAGAGGGGAACACAAAAATGACTCAGCCTGTAACTGAGAATATGGATAGAGGACCTCGGTTTAGCTTGTTAGTTTGTCGTGTTAGCGCCGAGCTAATACATATAAAGCAGTATAGCATTGGCGCTAGCGCAATGCTATATTTCCAGCTGCTGGCAACAGCTGTGGACTGAAGCAGTTCTAGGGGGGTCCAGGGGTGTTTGTTTCCTGAGCACCAGTATTTATTCTTGACTGTGTTATATGATAGTTTTCTCATGAAACACCCTCTGCACCATAGAACAAGTTACCTTCATAAACTTGAGTAATTCCTGTAAAGTTATAAAATTGTTTTTTGTCCCAAATTTTTGCTGCTCCCTAGAAGGAGGGTACCCTTAGCATTTGTCTGCAGCCTGTTGCTTTACGGGCGTATACCCCTTAGGTATGCCTAACAAGTACCACGTTAGTGCCAGGTATGTACTTGTAAGTACCCAGTTTGCAGTGGTGGGCAGTGCTATTTCAAAATTTAGCTGTGTAATTTCTAAAGCACTAGTCCATTTATTTAGGTCGGGAAGTTCAAAAGCACATATGTTCAAAAAAAACTTAGCGAAAGCTAATCATAAAGTGCAAACCTGTCTCTATTCACCAGGAAATATTATAGTGACATCATAAAACATGTCAGCAGCACAATACTGTCAACTAGTGGAATTATGATTTCCATTCACAGACTGGCACATGTCGCAGTTTGGGGAGGTGACTTGTTGAAACAGACTTTTGAGTCATGCTGTTAAAATAAAAATAGTTGTGGATTGCTAGTTCTGCTGTTTCTTCGTCTTTTTCTTATGTTTATGGTAGGGGCTTCAGTAAGAAAACATGCAGATATTTTAGTAATTTTAAATGTTTTATTGTAAAACTGAAGCAATGCATTCTGGGTAGGCTACAGGACGAACAGGAACCCGTTCATTTCAAAATAAGAGCGTGAATTTAAAATGTTTCATGTGAGCTTCAATACAACTTGAGACAGTGAGTTGGTGAAGATGCAGTGGAACATAAATTATAATTCCTCCCTATATCCTCCCAAAGCTCATATACAGGTGCTGGTCATAAAATTAGAATATCATGAAAAAGTAGATTTATTTCAGTAATTCCATTTAAAAAGTGAAACTTGTATTTTATATTCATACATTACATACAAACACCGGCCACTTTATTAGGTACACCTTTCCAACTGCTCGTT